TTTTTCTGAGTTTTAGGGAAAACAGATTTGCAAGAAGGGCACCCATGTTGTACAAAAAAAGAGCACAGTTGCATTTGGCAGCAAAAGGCCTCGGAATGCTGATTTTGATGAGGGGAGGTTCCTCTCCTTGGAGTGCCAATAGAGGTATGAAGACTGGTATTCGCCAAAGAAAATAATTCCGGAAAGGAAGATTGACTTGGAGAGTCTCCCTGAGGATTCTCCCATTCTAATAGTAATAAGAATGAGAAGTGACACTATGCCAATTTGGACTTTCTTAATAATATAGAATCCCACAATTGCCAATTTCAGATTAGCCTATCACTTTAATAACTACTCAGATAGATAACATCATCGTATTTTTAAACAACAAAAATTCAATCACCACATTAAATAGCTAGTTGTATGCACCTTTCCCATTTTCTTTTTACTCACTTGCGCTACTAGAATATAATAAAAATGCATGCGTCTTAAACTTAAACGACTCGAAGTGAAGTTAATCACTCTATTTTCTATTGATATAGCTCTTTTGATCAATGCATTTACCATTTGCTCTATGTTGATGACATCCTTATAATTGACAGTGAGCAAGTTGGGGTTGATAAGTTAAAGTCTACAACTGAAAAGTTCTCTCTGAGTTTTTATTCAATTCTGTTCTTCATCTTTTTCTTCCTCTTCTTTTTATTTTAATCATGTTTACCTTAGCCATGCGAGGCTAAGAACCTTTTAATCAACCTAAGGGTAATGGATTCCATGGATTAGTCTTGAGGATCTGCGTTTATTTCAAATCAGTTTTGTTTCCCTTCCCAACTCAGATTGATATTGTGCGATCGTGGATATTCAATCTGAGGTTCACGATTGCGATTATGGAAAGGGATTAATCATCAGATTTGATGATTAGGTTGATTGACCCTATTCAGCCAATTTCAGACCAAAAATCTTGGCATGATTCATTATATCTTAGGGATCGAAGTGACACAATATTGGTAAGGCATTTTCATTTATGAGAGAAAGTATGCCCACAATATTTTAGAAGAGATTGGTATGATATACCCATATATCCTAATGTTAAGCTCTTGCCCAAACATGGGGAGCCACTAGCAGATCCTGATTGTTATCATAGACTGGTTAGAAAGTTGAATTATCTTCAACTTTGCACTTTCGATCTAAACTATCCCACAAATTCTTGGAAGTCTTGTAGGCACAATACACAATGTAAAATGAATTTTCAAGATAATTGAGGATAAAGTTTCTGCATATATAGAAAATTTGAATTCACATACATCAACCGCAATAACCCTTTCCTTATTTGTTTCTCCATCCTCCAACCAAGGGACATCCTATATGAGAAACTAAGCCAAGTTCTAAGTAGTCATATAAAACAACACCATTTTTTTCTATCTCTTGAAATCATCATCATTAAATTTCTCAGGCTTCTCACCATGTGCTGGAACGGAAGCAATTGCATTCACACCTAGTTGCTAGAATTTGTTCTTTTTGTTAGACAAACAAGAATTAATCTCAATTTAATTTACAAAAAATCAAACACTCACTCAGACCAAATCCATTAATTGATCACAGAATGTGTAAAATAATTTTGAATATAGACAGTTTTCGAAATTACCAAGAACAATTGATAACAATGTAATTCTGTAATTGCAATAGCAATTAACAACAACCAAGTTTCAAAGTTGTTATAACAATTGGAAGCATATGCAATTGCAAAGTTTCAAAGCATTGCAAAATCAATATACAACAATGCATTTCAAAGATGGATTCATTTCACTCATAAACCCAAACAACAAAGTGAGGGTAAGGTACCTCATGCTTTTAAAGAGCTCACAACAAGAAAATAATAGAATCAAAAATTTCCTAACACCTATTAAACTTTCTTACCACAATCACAAGCCGCAACTCTTAGCAGATACGCTAGATCAAATTCTCCATCTCCACAACATATACCAAACAAAGATTAATAACTGGGAAGCAACCAACCAACTAAACAAATTAATTAGAGGTTCTTGGAATCAGACACCAACGTAATTAATCCAAGTATAAATGAATTTCATCAAAATGTATCCTCCTAAATAAAAAAATAGAACTTTTATTATGGAAAATTGAAGGAAAGAAAGAGAGTATGTATACCCAATAGAGGGAAAAGAAAGAGGGAAGCACATGGGAAATGGTTTTTAAGTGAAATACTATTATTTTACTTAAAAGGACACAATGTTTTATCGTTTAAAATGACAAATATTTTTGTGGAGATTAATTACTCTCAACACAAAATTGGATGTATCAAATTAAATTTGATCATGTATATATTTTGATGCACTTATAGTTGGCCCATTGTACATGGCCCAACCATTGATTCAAGAAACTCGTAGTCAATTAGAATTGTGGCCTAATATGTATGGCCCAATTGTTGAAAGAAGCAATGATTTGAAATATAACAAATTACAATCGAATCAAAGTCCCAGTAAAGCAGCAGCTGTGATTGTGATTTGTTTAGGAAGAAAAGAAAAGTAATATATTTGGCGTGATTTGAGATTAAAGATTTGGGATGTATTTTGAATTATTTATTTGTAATTTTTTATTTAGTTTTAGATGTTAATTACTGTTATATTAGTAAGTTTTATTATTTTTAGAATTTTAGATTTTGAATCAATTTGTAATTAGTCTATAAAAGGGTGCTTATGACCCTTATTCTAGGAGTTGAATTTTGTTATTTGAAAATTAGAAATTGAGAACCGGAGGGTTACTCTCTTATGAAAGCCTAACTTTCTGTTTAGCCACTTTTCTATGCGCTTTCGGCATCATTTGGTATCAGAGCACTAGGTTGCCTTCAATCAATGGCTGAACAGAATCGTGGAGGTCGACGACGGCAGAGTCACGAGGGTAGCGAACGTGGATTCGTTCCTGAAGAATATAGACAATTGCGTCAGATTGACCCGCGAGATATAGAAAATGAAGAGCTCGGAAGGCGGATCCAGAATTTGAAGCAACAACTTGAGCAAGCGTTGGACAAGAAAATCCAAGTTTTGAAGTGAATATGTGTGCAGGCACAGAGAAAGAGAATTCAAGATTTGGAGTGATGACTCGTGCGGGTATGCATGAAAATTCAAATTTTGAAGCAAACTCTTGTGGAGGTGCAGAGCATGGAAATTCAATAGTTGGAGCAGCGACTTGCGTGGACAAAGTTGGGCATTCAATTCGAGGAAGGAATGGAATTAGATGACGCATCTAATGACGAAGAAGAGGACGTCAATCCCCTGGAGATTCTAAACCAGGGACATAATTGGGAAGTATGACCTGAAAATCAGTTCACTTTTCAAGATATCGAGATGCAAATCAGCATTCCTGACTTTGAAGTCTATGATCATTATCCAGTTTGTGATGATGATTCGATCTATGATGATAATCCAATTTATGATGATTATCCGATTGTTGATAATTATCCCATTTATGATGAAGATTCAGTTTATTATGATAATCCAGTCTATAATAAATATGAAGATCTAATGGAGGAAGATTTATCATTTGAATTTTTGTCTAAAGAAACTGAGATTAGTGAAGATAAACAAGATTCGAGGATGAATCTTTTCCTAGCATGAGAGAATGATGCACTTATAGTTAGCTCATTGTACATGGCCCAACCAGTGATTCAAGAAACTCGTAGTCAACTAGAATTGTGGCCGAATAAGTATGGCCCAATTGTTGAAAGAAGCAATGATTTGAAATATAACAAATCACAATCGAATCCAAGTCCCAGTAAAGCAGCAGCTATAATTGTGATTTGTTTGGGAAGAAAAGGAAAGCAATATATTTGGCATGATTTGGGATATATTTTGAATTATTTATTTGTAATTTTTTATTTAGTTTTAGATGTTAATTACTGTTATATTTATTTTAGTAAGTTTTATTATTTTTAGAGTTTTAGATTTTGAATTTTGAATCAATTTGTAATTAGTCTATAAAAGGGTGCTTATGACCCTTATTCTCGAAGTTGAATTTTGTTATTTGAAAATTAGAAATTGAGAACCGGAGGGTTACTCTCTTATGAAATCTCAACTTTCTGTTTAGCCACTTTTCTATGCGCTTTCGGCATCATATTTTATACTCAATAAATATAAAAAAATTTAATATGTTATATATATATCTCTTTTTCCAAATATTTTACTTTTCTTTATTAAAGACAAAAATTAATGATAATTTGTTATTAAAAATAAAACATTTATATTTCATTGTATAATCTATATATTTGCAATTCATTTCAAAAATAAATGCTACACATGCCAATAAAATAAAAAATTGGTAATTAAAAATTTGATTTAGAGTCTAAAATTATTTGTCAACATCTAAAACTGAGTACTATTATTCTTTATTAAAATATCTTATACGGGTAACGCTGGACGAGATACCATCAATACTGTAAAGGAGAAGAGTGTCAATAATTTTAGTAAAAACATCAAGCAAATCGCTTAAAAGTACTTAAAATAGTTAACTCAAGCGATAAGGAACTTGAATTTGATTTATTTTTTTATTTATTTTTTACATTTATAGGAGTTATAATTTGAACTTCTTGCGCAATTCATGTTTTTCTGTTTTTATGACCAGAAATTGTTTCCTGATTTCCATTTCAAATTGTTCTATGGACTTTTTATCAATATGAGATGATCGTAACACAATATATAAAACTCGTAATTCAGGCAATCCAATCTTTCGTGTGTAAGGAGGAAGTCCCCCAAAATGGTTTTCACAAAAGGGTGATCAAAACACTACAATAAAAGCGGCCTTTCGCTACATGCATTTTGCCACATTTACTGAAATCATCTTAAAATTACAAAAATACCCGTAACTTTACTACGGCAATTTTTTAACGTCCAAAATTACCCAGAAAAAAATGCTTTCCCATTTGAGTAAAATAAAGAAAAGAAAACTCTAACTGCTTAAATCTGAAAAACAAAAACTCATCTCATTCATTTCTTCAATTTTTCGATGTCCTCAAATCTTCATTCATAGCAAACACAATACTTTCAGAGCTTTTGTCCTCTTTTTATTCTGGGTTAGCACTTTTTCATCTTCATCCTTAAAGCTTCTCCTATGAAGGGTCCATAAACCCTAGGAAAACTAGGTACATATATGTGATCATTTCTATTTCGCATTCTTTCGAGACTCCAGGTACCTTCCTCTTTAAATCTCTCTCTCTTTCAATTTTTTGCTATTCAAACATTTCGCTTACTATTGGTTCAATATTTATTTTTTCACTTTGGTGTTGTTTTTGTTGTGTTCGAATTCGGTTCATGGAAATCATGAATTCAAGAAAAGCTAGGTTCGTGTGATTTGAAAAAAACCCCCAAATGTGGCGATGACATGTTCGTGGTCGTGGATACATTTATAGAAAAAATTTGGAATATATAAATAAAGAAAATTTATCTCTGACCTTAAAATTTCGCATTACGTGTGCTGTGGAATGAAAATTTTGTGCATATTTATTTGTTAAATAGATGAGATCTTATTGAAATGTGCGAACATTTATGAGAATAGTTATATATATAGATGTAAAAATTTAAAAGGTTAAGTAAAATTTTAAGGTTAGAGGATTAATTTCATTCTCTTTCACGTTTCCTTTTTTCTGAGAATGACACATGCAATTTGCTTTATTGAGAATTTGCAATTTCACCAATGCGTGTTAAAAACAATAAGCCAGGTACAATTTGCTCTTTTGTGCCTCTCTTTAAAAACAATTGTTCATTTGTCTTTGTATGCATGACCATGGATCTCGTCAAAAATGTCGTCTTTCCATGATCATTTTTCATAAATCAAGGATTAAATTGACAAAAAGAGTTGTTATAAAGGAAGGTATTTTTCTATTTTCATCCAAACTGCTCTTTTTTATATAAGTACTTTACTTGAGGATTATGGATTGATTTGATATGTGATTCTCAGAAGCGAGTTGAAGAACTTGGATCCCTTTCTAATGCTGGATACATCCCAGGTACACCTTATTGGTTGTTGACTGTGTTTTATTGTTAGACAACAATTATATATATATATATGATTGGACTGTTACATCATGTGCAGTAGATGACCACTGGCAGATGAATAATTCTCTCTAAAATGCCAGCATAAACAAACAACAAGGGATTGCAGCTTTGGATCAATTTATCATCCAATGACAAAATGTAACATATCCCATTAACCAAAGATTTCTAATTGCCATGTTGATGACTATTTGACATTTTATTTTATTTTTATTTTCTTGGACTTTTGAATCAGGATTGAACCTAATTATCAAGAACTTTTAAGTGAGGACATACCAAAGATGTCAGAGATATGCAGGGCTGTTTATTGGCTGTGGACATATGGAGGTTACTCAGTAGATCTAACCCCTAAATCAGTTTCAGAGCTTTTAGCTGGGGACACAAATGTTGCACTTATAGATGTTCGCACTGAGGCAAGTTATGATTAATTTTTCTGACCTTTTTATTCAAAGCTAGAGAAATAACTATGTAATTTATGAATGTAACGTCAAGGTATCCTTGTGTTTTAGTGTCCATTCTATCTTTGCTTCAAAATTTCTTCCAAACTCAAACTATGGTATCCTAATTAAGGAAATTTTTCTATTTTTTTTCTGTTTGGCTAACTATTTTGACATCAAAATTAACCAAAGAAGTTGCTGCACCTTTCCTTTATGCAGGATTTACGAGAAAAAGATGGTATACCTGATCTTCAATGGTCTGCTCGGTTTCGATATGCCTCTGTAACTCCACTTGAGGTTCGTTGAAAGCATGATAATGTCTAATGTGACTGGGATAATTGTGGTATGAACTTTGTTAAATGGAACAAGTCCAGAATCTTGGTCACTTATTAGGTGGATTAACAACTAATCTATAATCTGTCTACTACTAAAATAACATATTATGCAATTTCTAGGTTAATGGCTCAATACGTAAGTTGTTGAAGAGTGGTAGAGACCTCGATGACTCTTGTATATTGGACTTGATGTAGATGTCTGGAGCTGTGGTGTAATTTTATACACTTTTCTCTGAGGCACTCTTCCTTTTGATGATGAAAATATTCCTAACCTCTTCAAGAAAATCAAGGTATTATTAATATTAATTTAGTTATTATTAGTTTTTCTTTTTTCACATCGTACCTACCTCTGTTGTATCTTTAGAATTGTTACTTTGACACTAAGTTTTTTTTTTTTTTTTTTTTTGGGTTCTTCCGTCCATTTGTTAGGTTATATGTGGGATGAGTGGACACCTAGGACCTGCATGTAACGCTGTAGGGCATGTGGATAGACAAGTTTGGGGGCTTAACCATCTTTATTCTCAACCTGTTTGGACACGCTTGAAGGTGAGTATTGACTTATTAGTAGTAGTTATTAGTCCACATTTTGTGTCACAAGATTTGCTCCTTAATTTGTTCGAATATTTTGGTATTATTGTAAACAAATTGATTCTATTATTGTTCTTCTAATTTTTCATATGATATTTTAGATAGGCATGCAGATTTAGTTCTCGAGACGAAGGTCATTTTCGTGAAGATGCTCCAAGTTGGTGTCGCGCTCCTTTTGAACCCAAGGGCTTGTTGAGGTTTGTTGTTTGTTTTTGTTTTTCTCTTTTTATATTGTATCTAGCTATCTATAAATTTGGGTTATTCCATAAAAAAATAACCTCCATTTATCTATCAATAAATTTTTATTTTTATTTTCATTAAACTATACCATATCAGCTATCCTCTCTAGCATTATCGGCATCCATCGTGGGCACGTCTTGATTCACTTCTTTTACTGTTACAACAGCCAAAGAAACTTGAAGTTACTGCAGCTACAACCCATCGGTTACTCAGCTAGCACCACCTCCCCAACCTAAACTCCAGGTGGATTGGTTCACAGTCCTCTTTGATTGTTTCTCCGACTTCAAAAATTGTAAGCCCCTCATCACACATCACCCTCTCTTACTGATATTTATGTTATCCAATATGGCTCAAAATAATTCTTCCCTTATATACTAAATCTCTTCTTTTTTTCAGGTTGCATAACTTGCTGGTGTCCAAGTGTCACCTTTGACCAAGTTGCAGAAATTGTTGACAAGGGATCAACCTTTAAGAAACTTGAAGTTCAATTGTTATATATACATATGATATGATTTTGAATATGAAAGCGAAATTCACTTTAATTAGAGGTTGGTGTATATGATATGATATGATGAATGAGGCTAATTAATTTTTTTATTTTGTGATTTGAAGCATGTGGTGCTAGTGGAGCTCTGTATATTAGTTTAGATGCTTGCAATTTGTATTTGTATTTTTGGTTTTGTTTTCCTATGAATTGCTATTATGCATCATTTATGTACCCAAAAAAAAATTAGAATTTTGATATTGGCATATAAAATAAAAAAATTGTATTATTTTTTTTTATTCTCTCCCTACAAATTAGCCACGTTTCTAACGTGGCTAATGTCAACAAAATCGTGGCCAAAATAAAGCTACCACACTCATGTCATGACAGCAGTAGCAAAGTGAGAAGGAAAATGTGGCTAAGTAAATGCCACACTAGGATCAGCCACATTTGGCAAAAATGTGGCAGTTTGGTTTAGCCATGTTTTTTGTTACATTTTGCCACGTTTATAACTGTGGCTAAACGACATTTTTTTGTAGTAATAAAGATCGAATCACTATGCGTATCTTGGTGGTCGTTACTTTTGGTGGTCTTTACAGGTAAAGTTTATTGAGTCACAATTAACTTCTAATGCGACCAGTCATTGTTCGATGCTTGAATTCAGTAGTTAAGACAACGAAAAAAAAGTTGTTGAAAAACCTAGTAACATCCAAGACCTCTTAAAACTAATTTAAAAGTCTTTGATTTCATTATTGAAACATATAAGTGTTATGCACTAACCGATGAGTGGGGGACTTTGCTGCATGTGTATACTTGTCACGAGCATATAAATGGACCACTATCAGATCACGGTTCAATATAAGGAATATTACATTGTCTAACTTATAGTCTAATTAGCGCACGCTTGAGTGATCATGAAATTTAGCGGGAACTCTTTTCTCACAACACATGTGATGACAATTTGAGCAATGCATATCTATTGTGAACCTCATGTCCCTGTCCTGTAGTTTTAACCACTACGCCACCTAACCCTTGCCTTAACTTACGTGGAACAGGCCTCACAATGCTTATCTTGCTAAAACCTAACTATAAACCTAACTATAAAGATAATGTTAAATTACACACACACGTATATATGTTTATCCAATTATTATTATTTGATTATAGTTTGATTTATCTTATTTTTTTATATAAACCTACACCTTAATTTATCACATATGCAAGTGCGAGGGATACGCAAGTAAAAGTGATATATAGTTAATTAGTTTTCTTTTTAAATATAAAACACCCTTTGATTAATTATTGAATATACATATGGAAAATATAAGTATCATGTGGTAGGATATTGTATCTTATGTCATAGAGCCTTCGATAGTTGTTCCAATATTAATAAATCCAAACCGATTATCGACTCGGTCGAGGTACTGTGTCAGTGGGACACTAGTTGAACCGCATGACCCATATTAGATTCAATTATATAATAAATATTTTAAATGGTGCAATTTAACCAACGACCCAATATAGCCTAGTGGTAAGTACTAGGTTGTATCAACCCATGACAAGGGTTGGACCCCTACTAGTTGCAACTTGTGAAACAATTATATTAAATTATATAATTATATAAATAATATATTAAATGGTATCTGAACCAACAAATATAGCTTAGTGGTAAGTGTTATATTTGTCATTCTCACGATACAGGATCAGTTGTTTGAATCAGTGTTTTAAAATCTCGCCCCACCCCGGGGTCGACCCCTTCGGGTCACTAACCCCCTCTCTCTGAGGGTTCGGGTTAGTAATTAGACCCTACTTGCACGTTGACGCTTCTAACCCCTGAAACTCCCCGGTTGAACCTGTGACTCCCGGGTCAAAGGGGTCACTGTATTTCTTTTTTTTTAAAAAAAAAAAAATTATACACCAAATGACCTGTTTAATGTGTAAAAAAAATCGTTACTGCCTAGACTTAGAACTAGATCTAAAATCTAAATCGTTCTTCTTTTTCTCATCCGATATTCTCTCTCAGACTCAGACTCAGTCTCCCTGTTCTGGTGATCTCCTCCACCGTGCTGGTTCTTCTCTCCCTACCATTAATTTGTCGTGACCGTTAATTTATCGTGTTGTTGCCTCTCCTCCGCTATTCTCTATTGGGTAAGGGATCTCTTTTCACATACTGTTGTAGGTGCATGAGAAGGATAAGAAGGGCCTGAGTTTGATGATAAAACTTGTCATTATCTCCATTGGAATATGTGTTTTATACTTCGATAGTTTGATACTTTGATTAGCTTGTGAATATTGACTTGTAGATGTAATTGGTTGAATTATGTTAAGTATATTTTGAATCTTTAATGATTGGTGGTTTGTTTTATTTTTAATTTTTCATATAGAATATATATTTATATTTTTTTAATGTATAAAACTGGGTCAGCGAAGTGACTCCATGACCCCCAGGTTGAACCCGTGAACCCCTGACTTCTGACCTCGACCGAGTCGATGGCCGGGCCGAGTTTTTAAACACTGGTTTGAATAAGACTTGTTGATGGGCCAATTTCCAAGCCAACCGGTTGGCGGTCCAGTTTTAATAACACTGAGTTGTGATGCCATTTTTTTAGTGATGGGCCCCACCACTATGTATCTTAGATAAGATATGCCTTATATATATATATATGAGTTTATATTTCTGCAGTTGTTGTACGTGTAGCAGTCAAATACTTGTCATATATATACGTGAAAGTATTAAATGTGAGGAATCATAACCTGACAAAATATGAAAGCATTAAATGTGGGGAATCATAACCATATACCTGTCATTGCTATATGTAAAGCGGCTATAGAAATGATTTTACCACATACACATATATATGTAACTAAAAGTGGCAATGTAGATAATGTTTTTCATTTTAATATTAATAAAAAATTACTTACAATAATGTTTTGTTTACCAAAAAAAAAAAACTTACAAAAATATAATAAAAGTATAAATTATCGGATTGGGATAATTTTGTACTTATATAATGTTTTCCATGGTGCCAGGTGAAATGACACTTTCATCATGAAGAAATTGGGTCAACTGTCATGTGGCAGTGTCTGATGGAAGACAAACATTATCTAGGGGAATAAATTTTTGGTGCATCAAATGTAGTCAACTGAGATCTTCCATTGTATGCTACAGTCAGCTATGTAGCACCGATACCGACACGGGACACGAGACACGACACGACACAACACTCCGTCACGTTAATTCTAAAAAAATGCTAGATTTTGACACGCTAGGACACGTTTTGATATTAAATAATATTTTTAATTTATATAGAGTATATTATATTTAATATTCAATAATTTAACAAAAAAATGAAGCTAAACTTATAATACTCATCAATTTTGCAAAGAAACATAAGACATCCCAAATATTTATATTAAACTCAATAAAATGGTAATCATAATCTAACGAATCTAATAGTTGGAACCAAAAACACAATGCAACGCAACCTTTGAACCTTTTTTTTGAGTCTCTACAACTCGTGTTGGAATGTCGGGGAGTGTCGAAGTATCAGAGAGTGTCGGAAAGTGCCGGACACGACACGTCAGGGTTTTTGAAGTGTCAGTGCTTCATAGACAGTCACCCTCTCCTTTGGATTCATTTCCATTCTATTAATTAATAATGTACAACAATTAATTTTTGTTATGTACTCGTAACTCCGAGAAGCATTACTAATTATAAGTGGCAACTTAAAGAGATAAGAATTAGTATTATAAAATTCAGCTTGAACCGCCATGTCTACCTGAAATAAGTAAACTAATTATTTACAATAGACCGGCATATATCGGACTCAGTTAAAAACGGTTTGAACTAGCCAAGTTTTATCAAAATTGATGACTCGGTCAGGTAAAAAAAAAGGCGAGTTATGCATTTTTTTTAAACAAAAATCGAAATTGTTCATGAAATTTTATAAAATCATAACTCTTCCCAAATAAAACACTTGCTCGTAATTGTCGGTTCCACCCCTTGCTCCAACACTTCTCTTCTCCAATCGCTGATTCTCGTCTTCTCTTTTCTCCACATGGCCACACCTTACCGCCTTGGGAGTAGTTTCCAACCACAATAATGCCTATTTAGTCTCATCCTTGTTCCAGCGCTATCACTTTCTTTGCACGATTTACATGCATCACTTCAATGGCAAGAACTAGGTGTCTTCATCCTTTTCTTTTCTTTTTAATTTAATTTTCTGTTTTTATGTAGAAAAACTATGAATTTCATTTTAAAAATAAAGTCCTTAATAAAATACATTTTTGGTGTGTCTTGTCTTGAATTGTAGAAATTCAGATGTGGAATTTTGATAAAATATTTTTAAAATATTCATTTTAAAAACTCCAAATTTTCAGGTGTAGATTTGTCTAGTCAAAATGATCATATTAGAAATTGTCTGCATAGCATTAGTGTGTCTTGAATCAAAATTGGTTTATAACTTCCCAAGCTTTGCACAATTTGTATAATTTGATGTGTAAGATACATAATAAATATAGCAATTTTCTAATGGAAACTGATGTGAAATGACTTTGTTGTGGATTCTACATTAGTTTTTTTTTTTTTTTTGTAAAGCTACATTAAATTTTTAATTATAAAATACAGATTTGCAAATACTTACCCAAGTTAACAGATTCGACCAGTGAGTCACCAGTTGAACCCATGACCAAATAACGCAATTCCTCGGACGAGTCAATGATCAGATCGGGTTTAATAACATTGATAAGAATAACATCTTTTATTTTATATCTTAGGGATAAATGTTGTACCGTTGGGATCTATAAGCCCACTATGTTCCCTTTGGGGATGATGTCTCTGTATGGATGGTGCCACTAGTAAAGGTAAAGACCAAGCTAGAGAGCACTGTTCCAAGTATGATGGCAAAAAGATAACAATGGATGATTCAGTGTGAGTATATATGACTTAATATAAATGGGCATAATAACGATACATAATATCCCTTCCTCAAGTGCCCAAGGGGCTATTTATAGAGAAGGTGGTGTGAATCTTGCTTGGGTTGGTGTGGAGGAGGTCAACTCTCCTTGGGATCTGCTAGGGGTTGCAGTGCTGGGCGTGCCAGACGCTGCTGTTATAGCAGCGCTGCACCCCCTGCGCCTGGCGGTGTCAGCGTGGGACAAAGGGCGGTTTCCCCTTATGGCATCTGGGGCGACTGCCTTTGGGGGTTACGGTCCCAAGGTAGGACATTTTGGTGTTTCCCCTTGGGAGACTAGTCGTGA